TACTAAAAAAATATGGCTTAGTTACATATGATAAATTAACTAAAATATATAAATCAAAACCGTGCAATACTTTTGTCTTCCCCCGGTACGTATTATAAACCAGTGGAGTAAGTGATAAGAGATTCCACATAATACTGATGGGATAAATTCTTGTTATCCTTCACATCGTATGGAATAACAAGAAAAGAATCGGACAACTAATCCATTTCTTAGACTTAAAGCTTTGGCTGATGATTTAAGAAATAATTAGGGCCAGGTTTTTTTTAATTATGCCATCCAATCCATTGTATATTAATGTGTGCAACATAGGGATTTCTCATTTGGATGGCGGGAAAAATCTGAATATACTGTATATGGGCAACTACGATCTTAACCATTAATCGATCACATGAATTCAATCGGCCCAATCGGATGCCTTTGGAAATATTCTATATTCACAATATTTTTTTCACAAGCTTTACATTTAAGTAATTTCAATCTTCTCCAAAGATTTTTCATATCATATAAAGAGGAAGTTATTTTCTTTCTAATTTCACAAATTCACCTAATCGATCAATTTTATTCACAATAATTAAAATCATAATACAGTTAAAATAGTTAAAATAACCTTTATTAATCTTATAAAACTTAGAATCGAAGGCAACAGCGGATTCGAAACTATAAAAGAAAAACTTGGCATTTTATGATTGGCTAAATAGTTTATATAAGTTGATGAATTAAGAATAAGAACATCTGAAATTGAAATTTCATCAACATCGATCAAAACTCTGTCCAAACAAAATGAGCAAAATTTTCTTATCACTTAACAACGAAAACGTATTTTCTGGCATTTTCCTAAACGAAACTTATTGGCATAATGACATTAGTAATTTTCAAATAAGACGGCTGAACACGAAATATCTAGAATGGGCTATAATACTTCTGGGATGGTATATCATTCTATCCGCAATCCCTAACTTGTGGATAATATTTGAAAATTACACCAACGTCTCTCGACCTCTGAAAGTGATGAAGACAAGAAAACTAAAGGTTCAAGCTATAACCTCTTTCCCGCACAAACCAATAATTTTATATAAAGCACTTCTTGATACAGGCTCACAAAGAGCTTTAATATTGACAAAATTTTGGGAAAAACAACATGAACAGAATCATTTATCAATAAGCATAGGAAATAATTTAAAGGTTAAACCTCCGGTTATTCCTAAGATTACAAGATCTATGACCCAAATACGACAACAACCACCACTGAAACCAGCATCAAAAAGAGATGGAAAAGGAACCGCGCTTAATAGTTGTCAACGTGCAGCATCAGTAGCAGTCATAAAAGAAAAGGAATTCTTTCAACCTCACGCAAATATTCACCCTTTAAAATTTGATAGTTTGGAGATCGAACAACAATTACACCAGGAATCAGTATCAAAAAGTGACGAAAAGGTAACGACGCGGAAAAGATGTCAACATGCAGCACCTGTAGCTGACCTAAAAGAAAAGGATTCAATTCAATCTCGAGCCGAGTTTCCATCTTCAGAATATAAACTTTGGGAGGTTATACAGCAGCAAACCCAGGAATCAGCATCAAAAAGAAAAAAAGGAGCTTCACGGAAAAAACGTCAACGAGTAGCACGAATAGCGGCACTAAAGGGAAAGAAAATCTCTCGTTCTCAAATAGTTATTCCCCTTTCGGAAGATGATAATTGGGAAGATGAGAAAATCGAAGTAGAATGGGACGATTCATATCAAACTATCATTAAAAACAATGAAATGATAATGGAGTGGAAACGAAAACATCAAGAATGGAAAAGACAGGGTTTTCGAGGTGGTCTACCAAGCAGTATTGACAAATTATTTTGAGATGTATCTAAAAAGAAGGTAATTTAATATGCCATAATTGTACCAAGAAAGTTAGAATATAGAGAAGAAACTTATGTAAGGCAACTGTACGAGAATTTTATAAGAATTTGAATATCTCAGGGTTAATTCACGAAAAGAGATTAACCAAGGGGTGGAAATTTAATTTAATCTTGATAACCACAATCATCAATGACTGGGTTGTGGTGGGCATAATATTGTCAAACATAATTTTATAATAAAACATTAAACCGATAGCTTGCAATAAGGGTTTTGAACATTTGTTTTATATTTTGATATTTGACAAGGTTTTAACATTGGAAAAAGATTCCAAAACCTTGCTTAATATCATATATGAAAAATATGAAATTGCAGAGGATTATGAAGAAATCTTCGATAACATGCAAACAATTCTACCTTGATTTAAATATTTCAATCAAGAAGAATTCCAATTCCACTATCATCATCAATTGGACCTCATGGATGGAACCGGTTAATTTTCTTTTAACCGGTGAAGAAATATTTGTCCGATTTCAGTCTCTATGAACAATCATCACCTCTCATAACATCTCGATGGATAACAACATATAATAAAGTATATCTTGGGAAATTTTTTAATCAAATAGTTGAAGTTATACGTGGAAACATTTATATATTGATGGATTCCACGAAGATATTATTCAAATCTTCGCCGGACAAAATACGGTAGAAGAAATAGTGAAAGATGCATAACATCACAACAATTCAATGATATTTTCAATTCTTATCGATTTAAAGTAAAGAAAGAAGTAAGCAAGCATTATACGCGGTAATCCTTATATTATTCATATATAATACAAGGCAATTTCAGTGAATAGTGAACGACCATTGTCTTGAACCATCAAGTTCACCATAGAAATGTAAACAGAGAACAAAATGATAGGAATTATAATTTTAGGAGAAAATCATTAGAATAAAGAGCGCATTAAGCCATAGTGACATCAGCTGGTATTCGAATAAATTATCCCGATGAGTCGGTATTTAAACTTTATCCATTTACCCAATAATTCGGGTACGTTACATTACTAAAGGCAAACAATTTCTGGATTATAAAAATACGAAACATCGTGAAGTAGTCATTTATTAAGAAAAATTGAATTATTAATCATATATATAAAAGTAAATTAAGATATAATTATGTCAGTTAATAACTTTTTGTGAAAAAAAAAAAAAGAAAAAAGCATTAAATGGAAAGAATTTTTTTTTAAAAAAATACTTATAATATGATCTTCACAATTCCTTTTTAAAAATTTACTGATTTAAACTTCATCTTTTTATATTTATATATATTTAGATTAAAATATACTTTATTTTTTTATTATTATAATTACATTTATATAATAATATGATGAATATCAATAAATTACATTACTTTAGATTGTAAGTTTTTAATTACAATTTTTTAATATTAAAATCTAAATATAATTTTACTTATAAAATATAAATATATATTTTATTATTATTTTTTTTTTTGTTTTTATTTCTAATTTAATTCTTTATAAACTAATCAAACTGTAATATTAATTAAATATAAATATTTTTTATTTTTTTTTACTTATTCAATTTTATTATATTATTTTTTTTTATCTTATTATTATGATTTTAGTTAAAAAGTCTATAAAATAAAAATAAGAATAAAAATATTAATAAGATTTCAAATTTCAAATTATATTTTAAATTTTTTTTTTTTATGATTTACTAGTTTTAAAATACAAAAAAGTAATAACCATTTTACTAATTAAATAATATATAAAAAACACAATTTTTTAAATATTACTTATCCCTTAGACTGTAGAGCAGGCAAATTTGCCTGCGAAGTTAAAAAAAAAGTGTTAATTTCTTAATAAAATATT